TACTGTTCTGCTGCAAAACAAAAACAAAAACTAACTGGACAGTGGGGCCTTCCTGGGAGGGTGGGAGGAGGACAGAGCCCCCTGACCATTTCCAGGGACAGGACATCACAGACAGCACCTTCAGCTAAGGCACTGGGGCCAGCACTGTCTGCCAGGGGAGAGAGTCCTCTGTTGAGCCCTGCCCCGCTCCCTGCAGCACAGGCTCTAGTACAGGGGTGGCCAAACTGTGGCTCTTTTACAGTTAAAGTGCGGCTTCTGGAGTCCCCAGAGCCCTCCCCCCCTTCTCAACCTACAAGACACTGGCAGGGGGAAGCTCAGGGCTTCTGCCCTGCAGCCCATGGTGGGACTAGGGGCTTCTGCCCTGCAGGGAGAGGGTGCTAATGGCTTTTGCCCAGGAGGGGGGTTGCATTGGGGCAGAAGCTCCAAACCCCAGCAGGCGCCACCCCACAGGGAAGGTTGTGTATGTCTTGTGGCTCTCGAATGTGTGAAGATTATTGTATGCAACTCAGAGGGTCGGTAAGTTTGGTCACTCTGCTCTAGTAGCACGTTGGGGCCAGCACCAAATGCCTGGGAGAACTCTCCCTGCAAGAGAAGCCCTGGCCTCCCCGACCCCCACTAGCTGGGCCTCTCCAAGAGCAGAAGTGGTCTGACTCTGCGGTGCAGCCCAGGGGCTGGGCTGTGCTGGTTCCTCTCAGTTCCCCTCTGCCGCACACTCACATTTCTCAGTCCTTGCTCAGAGTGCGGCAAGGCATGAACTGGCTGGGCTGGCCCAGAGTGCCTTGGCTGCCCCCACGGACCCTCTGAGCATGGTGAGTACGGCTGGAGTAGCCCTGACTGAAACCCATAACAAGGGAGTGTTCAGGGGTCACAGGGCTCTGGACTGCAGGAATGGACACGTCAGCTGCTCTGCCTGGGGGACAGAAAGGGTGTAAGTGGGACCCTCACCAGAGCTGGGGGGAACCCATGGCTGGGCTAGGCTGGGTAGGGGCTGCAGGTCAAGCTTAAGGGGCAGGGCTGGGGTCGGAATCTGGCATGCTGTGGGTCCCTATATTCCCAGCTCTAGCAGCAGTGAGTATTGGGTTCCTCGTGTGGGGAGGCAGCTTTCTTGTTTACCGCTGCTGAGCCCACTGGTAGCCCTGAGGGCTGGATCAGTGACACTGAGGTGTCTGCTGGCCATGTAGCTGATCTCCCAGGCCTGTTTACACTGATCTCAGTGGGGTGGGTGTCTCACACACACATACCCATGCCATTCCTGGGCCATGTGCCCCCCCAGGGCAGCAGTAGCCCGGTAGCTCCAAGGGACCCACGACGAGCACCTGCTGGCCAGCACTGCCCTGCACTGGGGCCCTGCAGAGAGCTGCCTGGCCAGGTCACAGCTGCATGAGGCCTGCTCTGAGCTGGCCCAGACCTCTCCAGGGGCAGCTCTCCAGCTCTTGGTCCTCCCTGCTGGCTGAGGCTGGCCTGTGCACACAATTGGCCCTGGCCTGGTGTCATGGAGTCACCGGGTAAAGGCTCTGGAACTACTCCATACAAAGCCAGTCAGGACTCTGGGGGAGCCTCCTCTCTCTGAGCATACTGTCTCCAGTGCAAGAAACTTCCACAGCTTCCACCTTCCTGGATCTGACCTCGGAGCATTCAGCATCCCCGTCCACATTGTGCGCTTCCTGCAGCGAGTCCACCTGGGTGGGGCTCCTGGGGAAGCTAGAGGGCACTGCACCCCAACTCCGCAGTCAGACGTGACTCTCAGCCATCCGGTAAAACAGAAGGTTTATTAGTCAACAGGAACACAGCATATAACAGAATTTGTTAGCACAGAAATCAGTGACTTTCAGCCAAGTCCATCTTGAAGGAATCCCAGGCCAGACGCCCTGGACTTCCCCCTCTCCGAGTCCCCCACAGCCAACTGCCCAACTTCCAGGGACCCGACCTCTGACAACCCGTTGCGCCTCCTCCTTTTCTTCATCTCACTTCCTGGGCAAAGAGTCACCTGGTCGTCACCTGGTTGCATCCCCCTCCTGGATCTCAGGTTATGAAGTGCATTTACCATAGCATAGGTGCAGCAGCTGGAGCAGCCTCACCTGCCCCAGAGGTCTCAGCAAAAGTCACACATCCTTATACCCACCACCTAGGCATTGGTGCAGCACACAGGGAAACTGAGGCACACACAGTATTCATGCAAAATTGTAAAACTCACATAGGCTCAACAGTAAGACTCACATAGGCTCACATACAACATAACAAGGGAGAATCCCCACTTCATCACACCTGGGTGCTGTTGGGTTTAGCTGCCTCAGGACAGGGTAAAGCCAGATACCTGGGCTCTATGGGCCCTGGAACAAGGCTGGACCCCATGCAGTGCATGAATGGACGGCTGGGGAAGGCTAGCCCCTAGCCCTGCCCCTTCCACACACCCCCACCAGAGCCCAGTGGCCCTTCCCTGCAGCTGCTGGCCCCAATCCTAGGCTAGTGCCCCCAGCCCCGGAGTGCCCCCAACCCTCCTCCCTAATCCCAGAGGGATGAGAGGGCAGGTGGCACCACCCGAGCCAAGGCCACCCCACAGGGAGACTGGAGCCGCGCCGAGCAGGAAGCAGGAGGGGGTGGGCTGGGATGGAGCATGGGCGGGGCCATGCTTGGCTGTTTGGGGAGGCACAGTCTCCCCCAGCCTATGATACCCGCCGCCCAAGCTGGGACCCTAACCCAGCTGTGCCCCTTCTCAAGGGAAGTCTGCGGAGTGCCAGGGCAGGGAGCTCAGCATTGTTAGAGGATGTGGCCATCCCTTCCCCCACTCCACCACAGCCCCACCTGGATGTCAGGAACACTGGGGATGAGCAGGGCACCCGGGGGAGGTTTCTCTCCCTGGGTCCCAGGCCGGACCGTGAAGGGTGGGGCAGGTTGCAGGCACTGCTGACTGGGCCATTAAAAGTCTAATTCACGCAGGGCTGGCAGGCTCCCTACCTGGCCCTGCGCAGCTCCGGGAAGCAGCCAGCATGTTCGGCTCTTAAATACAGGGGTGGCCATGGGGGATCTGCATGCTGCTCCCATCGTGAACGCTGGCTCTGCATCTCCCATTGGCCAGGAACTGCGGCCAAAGGGAGTTGCAGGGGCGGCGCCCATAACCCGCACCCTGAACCCTCTCCTGTGCCCGAACCCCCTACCCCAGCCCTAAGTCACCTCATGCACCCCAAACCCCTCGTCCCCAGCCCCACCCCAGAGCCCACACCTTCCAGACAGAGCCCTCAACACCTCCCGCACCCCAACCCTCTGTCCCAGTTCTGAGCCCCCTCCCGCACCCAAACTCCAACCCAGAGCCCGTGCCCCAAAACCCCTCCCACATCCCAACCCTCTGCCTTAGCCCTGAGCCCCCTTCTGCACCCCAACCCTCTGCCGCAGCCCGGAGCCAGTCCCCACACGTCGAACCCCCTCAGTTCCACCCCCCCCACCCATCCCAGAGTCTGCACCCCAACCCCCTGCCCCAGCCCGGAGACACCTCCTGCACCCTGAACCCCTCATTTCTGGCCTGACCCCTGAGCCAACCCCATGTCCCAGCCCAGTGAACATGAGTGGAGGTGCGGGAGAGTGCATGATGGAGGGAGAGGGGATGGAGTAAGCAGTGACGGGGCCTTGGAGAAGGGGCAGGCATGGGGTAGGGCAAGGGTTCTTGGTTTTCTGCAATTAGAAAGTTGGCAACCCTATCTAGTTGGGGCTGTGGAGCAGCCTTGCTGGGCCACCAGTGTCCTGCTCTTGGGTCCGGAGGGGCTGCGCAGGCCGTGGGAGTGTTTCTGAGCCAGGCCTGTTCGTGCACTGTTCGGCCCCAGCACCCCACTGCGCCATTCACTGCCGCATTCCTGACCCAGCCCAGCTACAGCTCCCTGCATTCCTAGCGAACGGGGCCCCAGCAGTGCCATGTGTTCCTAGCACATGGGGCCTAAGCAGCACCCTGCATTCCTAGCACGCGGGGCCCCAGCAATGCCCTGCGTTCCTAGTGTGAAGGGCCTGGGCAACGCCCTGCATTCAAGGCACAAAGGGCCCTGGCAGAGCCCTGCATTCCTAGCACCAGGGGCCCAGTCAGTGCCCTGCATTCCTAGTGTGAAGGGCCCAGGCAAGTTGGGGCAATGCCCCGCATTCCAGGCATGAAGGGCTCTGGCTGCGCCCTGCATTCCTAGCATGAAGGGCCTCAGCAGTGCCCTGCGTTCATAGCGCGCAGGGCCCCAGCAGCGCCTTGCGTTCCTAGAGCATGAGACCCCGGCATCGCTCTGCATTCCTAGCACGAAAGGCATCAACATCGCTCTGCAGTCCTAGCGCGCAGTGCACCGGCAGCGCCCTGTGTTCATAGTGCGTGAGGCCCTTGCAGCGCCCTGCATTTATAGCACACGAGGCCCCGGCTGAGTCCTGCATTCCTAGCACGAAGGGCCCCAGCAGCACCCTGCCTTTGTAGCGCACAAGGCCCCTGCAGTGCCCTGCTTTCCTAGCGCATGGGGCACCGGCAGCACCCTGCATTCGTAGTGCGCGAGGCCCCACCAGCGCCCTGCGTTCCTAGCGTGAAAGGCCCGGGCAGTGCCCTGCATTTCTAGCACATGGGTCCCCGACAGTGCCTTGCGTTCTTAGCACGAAGGGCCCCGTCAGCGCCCCGGGTTCCTAGTGCGAAAGGCCCCGGCAGTGCCCTGCATTTGTAGCGTGTGAGGCCCCAGCAGCGCCCTGTGTTCATGATGCGCGGGGATCCAGCAGCACTCTTCGTTCCTAGCCCACAGGGCCTGGGCAGTGCCCTGCGTTTCTAGCATGCAGGTGTTCATGACGTTATGGCTTTGGGCATCCAGCGCCCACCGTGGCCAGTCTCAGGAGAGGGGAAAATGACTTGACATCCAGGGATGGGAGAGGAAGGTGGGCTGGTGAATGGGGAGACCCTGGAGCGTACGCCTCCAATCCCCAGCCAGTGAGCAGCCTCTCTGCACCCACTGCACACCTGGCTCTAAACTCTTCTCTTCTGCTTTCCAGTTTCCTAGGTGAGCAGGATGCTGTGGCAGGTGCTTCTGCCGGTGGAGGGGCTCCTGGGGACTGGCGCCTACTTCCCTAATTACCCTCCCTGTGCAAACAGCACAGATGGCAGGAGCGCGGACTGCAGCCTGCGTGGCTTCAGACTCATGCCGGATATATGTTCCATCAACGTGACCTTCCTGAACCTTGATGAAAACTTCCTGTCACTGCTGGCCAATGACTCCTTCTCTGGTGTCCCTCACCTGGAAAACCTCTCGGTCTGCTGGAACTGCAAGCCAGGGCAGCTGCGGAAAGCACATGAGGATTGTCAGCTGGTGATCCAGCCAGGGGCACTGGTCAGTCTTCATAACCTAATCAACCTGAGCCTGGCAGGAAATAGCCTGAAAGCTCTGCCCCCGGTCCCCTCTTCCCTCTGCTTCTTGGACTTGAGTTACAACAATATCCTTGTGCTGGGCCCTCAGAGCCTCGCAGGGCTCAGCAACATGAGGGAGCTACTCCTAGGCAACAACTGCTACTACCAGAACCCGTGCAACACCTCCGTAACCCTTGCACAGGATACGTTTAAAACCATAACCTCCCTGAGTGTATGTCTACACTATGGGATTAATCCGAATTAACGCTGATAAAACCGAATTAAAGTCGTAGTGTAGACCAGGCCTGAAACAGCTTTCACTGAAGTTTAACAACATGACTGAGGTTCCCCAGGGGCTCCCACCCACGCTGCACCAGCTTGACATCTCGGAGAACAAGATATCCCACGTGAGCCACCTGGAGAACCTCACCAACTTGAGATTGCTCAACCTGGAGTGGAACTGCCAGCGATGTGACCATGCTGCTCAGCCCTGCTTCCCCTGCCCAGACAACAAGTCCCTGACCTTCAACACGGATGCTTTTCAGAACCTCGTGAAGCTCAGGAGCTTGAACCTGCGAGGCAACTCCCTGTATGACCTCAACACCAGCTTCTTCAACAACCTCAGCCGCTTGGAGACCCTGGATCTGTCAGACAACTTTCTGACCTGCACCATTAGAAATGGCACCGTCTTCTCTATGCTGCAGTCAGTGCAGACCCTAAACCTGGGCTACAATTACCGTTCACTGGTGACCTTCGAGAACCTGACTCTATCTGAGTCCTTTGGCCAAATGAAAGCTTTGAAAAATCTCATCATCAATGGCTACTTCTTCAGGAACTTGGCTGCAGATGGGATCAAACCTCTCTTCAACCTAAGCAACTTGGAGACCCTCCACTTTCAAACAAACTTCATCAGAGATGTGAACCTGTCGCTCTTTTCCAAGTGCAGAAGCCTAAAGCTCATCAGTCTGTCTCAGAACAGCATTGCCTTCTCCCACCCTTGTGAGAGGAACGGGAATGGAGCTGGATCGGGGCCTTGGGGCCTCTCCCAGGAAGGCACTTCGGCAGAGAATCCCTGGCATTGGGCGGAGCCTAAAGGAAGAGCTGAGGAAATGGTGAGGAATAGCCAAAGCTCCCATCTCAACTTCCCAGCTGGCATTCACTGCAACAAGACCCTGGATTTATCGTTCAATAGCATCCACAGCATTGAGCCAGCCCAGATCAAAGGGCTAGAGGATATCGACTGCCTCAACCTGAGCTCTAATTACATTAGCCAGCCCCTAAATGGCAGCCAGTTCCTGATGCTGCAGTCCCTGAAGTTGCTGGATCTGTCTCACAATAGGTTTGACCTGTACTATGGCAGTGCCTTGCAAGAGGTCCGCCACTTGGTTGTGCTGAGCCTCAGCAATAACCAGTTCCACTTCACAATCAAAGGCCTGGGGCACAAGTTTGAGTTATTGACAAACCTCAGCAACTTGAAATTTCTGAACCTGGACAACAACCAGATAGGTATTAGGATCTCCAAACACCTGGAGAGCCATTCACTCGAGACTCTGATCTTCAGCAGGAACCGGCTGGACATCATGTGGATGAGTGGGAGGAATACCTACCTTGAGTTCTTTGCCAAGTTGCCCAACCTAACGCTCCTGGACATTTCATTTAACAAACTGGACTTCATTCCAGCCGAGGTCATTGACACCTTGCCCGAAAGCTTGAGAAACTTGTCCATCGCCTATAACAACCTCTATGACTTCCCATGGGACAAAACGGAAAGACTGAAAAGCTTGGAATTCCTGGACTTGAGTAATAATGCACTGGAGATGCTAGTAACAGATGAAGATTTCTCTAGGATGAACCTCACGAAGCTCACGAACCTCACAACCCTCAACCTCAGCTACAACAAGATCAGATCTCTTCATAAAGAGTTCTTTTCCAATGTCAGCTCCTTGCACTTTCTAAACTTGAACCATAACAAGATAAAGATGATAGATGAAAGCAGCTTTCCAAACACACTTCTCAAAAGCTTGCAGCACCTGGATGTGAGCAGCAATCCCCTGAGGTGCACCTGTGAAGCCCACTGGTTCCTCATGTTCCTGAAAAGCACTTGCATCACAATAGACCATTTCTCCACTAGCATGCAATGCGACCTCCCCGAATCGAAGCGAGGGCAGCCTCTGCTCTCTATGGACCCTCGATCATGTCAGGATATATATGGCCACCTAAGCTTCCTGTGCACTTCCCTCATTGTGACATTCATAACCGTGCTTCCTGTCCTACGTAAGCTATATGGATGGGACTTCTGGTATCTCAGCCACATCTGCCTGGCCGCAGTCAGAAGAGGCTATGCTCAGATGTCCACACCCTCCCTGGAGGAATATGATGCATTCATAGGCTTTGACTCCCAACACAGCACGGTAGCTGACTGGGTCTACAACGAGATGGTGCCCCACCTGGAGGAGAAAGGAAGGAGGAGGTTCAAACTGTGCTTGGAAGAAAGAGACTGGACAGTTGGAAGGTCCAGGATTGAGAACCTCTGTGACTCCATCTACAAGAGCAGGAAGACCATCTTTATCCTGACGAGGGAGGGGTTTGGCAGCGGCTTCCTGAGGCACACCTTCTTCATCACCCAACAGCGGCTGCTGGACAACAAGATGGATGTGTTTCAGAGTAAGATGGATGTGGTTATCCTGGTGCTGCTGGACCCAGATATGAAGATGTCCAGATTCCTGCTGGCCCGGAAAAGACTATGTGGGAGGACAGTCCTGGACTGGCCCGGCAACCCTTTTGCCCAGCCCTACTTCTGGCACTGCATGCGAGTCCTGCTTGCTCATGAGGTTCACGACTTTTATGACTCACACCTGAGGAGAAGCATTGACAGTTCTGGGGCAGGGGAGCTCCTGCCAGTGGAGAAAGCAGTGGCCAGGTCAACATTGCGAAGGCCCCGAGAAGCAGCCAGAGCTTGTGCATTGCAATGATTGCTTCTCATCTGAGTGGCTCATTGTTTTGCCTTTTACCCACTGCTGAGGGGCAGCTTTTCACTGATCCCGTCTGTGTGGCTGCTAGAACTCCCCATCCCAGCTTTACTCAGAGCCTGCGGGGACATTGGCCAGAACTAGCACCAGTGGCATGCAAAGAAGCTCCTCTCTGGTTTGTATTGTAAAGATTTTTCCCATTCTGCCAATGGTCAGATTCGCACCCCTGCCTAGCTTGGCTTTGTGCCCACCCCCATGCTGTGCACAAGGGGGCTAGGCTAAGTGAGAAATGCCCTTGAGATCCCCATAGCTCAAGTGTTCTGCTTCAGGCCCTCCCCATGGCAGGGAAGCAGCAGGGAGGTGAGGGCTAGGGTGCTAGGGAGTTTCTCCCACACACGTACCGGTGCAGCTGAGTGCTGTGCCTGTGGTGGAGACAGAAGCAGAGACGGGGAGGGCAGACTGAGCTCAGGAGGGGACGGGCAAGGGAAGCTTAGGGAGCAAAGGGAAGTTTCCCCAAGCCCTGTTTAAAGAAAAGAACCCAGCCATCCCCACACGCTCCAGCCCCACAAGTCAGGCCCCCTGAAATCATGAGATTGATGTAAACCCACGAGATTCCAAAGCACCCAATGCAGCTGGGTTCTTTGGTTTGTCCCCTGGTTCCTGGGCTGTTAGAAACATAGGCCACAGGGCTAGAGAGACCTCCTGGGTCCTCAAATTCAGCCCCACTGTCACAGGCAGCCCTGTTATAGCATCCCTATCATAAATGGATCAGGTCTATTGTAAAGCTAGTCGGTGTTTGCTCCCACAGCTCCCAGTCCTGGGGAGCTGGGCCTGAACCTCATCCCTCTGGTGGTTAGAAACTTGCTTCTAATCTCCAGCCTGAATTTACTCATGGCCAGTTTATATCCAGTTATTCTTGTGTCCACACTGTCCTTTAGCTTCAAGAGCTCTTCCCCCTACCTGGAGTTTACCCCAGTGTATTTACAGAGAGCTGTCAGAGCCCCTCTGAGCCTGCATTTGTTAGGCTTAACCAGCTAAGCTCTTCCAGTCTCCTCTCATCAGCCAGGCCCCACCTGTCACCGTGCCTCTGTGGATCACAACTAAGGCCTGGTCCCCACTAAGCCCCCACTTCAGACTAAAGTACGCAAATTCAGCTACGTTAATAATGTAGCTGAATTCGAAGTACCTTAGTCCGAACTTACCGCGGGTCCAGACGCGGCAGGAAGGCTCCCCTGTCGATGCTGCATACTCCTCTCGGCGAGCTGGAGTACCGGCGTCGACGGCGAGCACTTCCGGGATCGATCCGGGATCGATTTATCGCATCTTAACCAGACGCAATAAATCGATCCCAGAACATCGATTGCCTGCCGCCGGACCCTCCGGTAAGTGAAGACGTACCCTAAGAATACCAAATTCAGGACAAACTGCTGAGAAATAGAGCAGACACACCCCAAAACTGGTGGTTATTGTCCCATAAGATATAACAAACCAGCAACAAAGGTAAACTTCTGTTTCACCACACTGGCTAAAAAGAAGTCAGAAAAGCAGCCTCCTTAGGTATTCCAGTCCTGGATTCAACACCAAGACACTAGACTTAAAGATGAGTGGTTCTTTAAAACCAATTTCATCAAACAAAAGGTTCTTCTGATCCCAAAGGACCAGCCACGCACCCAGGTCAATATACAACTCAGATCTTATCCAATAATCATGCTGTTAACAATCCTTTAGTATCTAAAATCTAAAGGTTTATTCATAGAAAGAAAGAAAGAAAGAAAGATGAGAGTTAAAATTGGTTAAAAGAATCAAATACATACAACAATTGCAAAGTTCTTGGTTCAGGCTTGTAGGAGTGATGGAATAAACTGCTGGCTTGTTAAGTCTCTGGTTGCTTCCAAATCATTGGAAGGTCCTCAGGCCCTTGGTTAGAATGCTCCCATTAGTATAAGTCCATAGTCCAGAGATTTGAGCAGGAAAGAGGCAAAATGGAGATGTTTTCAGTGCCCTTTTTAGCTTCTCTCAAGGGAAACCCATTGTTCTCCTTGTGGAAAATTACTGGTAGCAAAATGGTGTTTGGGGTCACATGGGCAAGTTGCATGTCCATGCATGAGTTCGCTTAGTCTCAGCAGAAGCCATTACTTATACCCCAGATGGAACGTTCAGAGGAAAGTCGATTAAGTGTGGCTAAGCATCTCCCACGGTCCATTGTGAGTTAGGTGTTCCTTGATGAGCCATTTAACTTGAATAGTCCCTTCAAGATGTGCAGGCTAAATACCTTGTGGGCATTACCACAGGAGCAAACATATTTGAAATATAGGTATCGAGCCAAATTCATAACTTCAAATACAACAATTATACATGCATATGTGATGCATGGCCAGAAAGGGTTAAATATCCTGCAAAATAAATGACTAAAATTCAACCCTTAAAGACATGTGAGGAGATAACATTTGTGTTTTTATGTATTTCGTGGTCAATGATGTAATCAACAGTCCCTGTCTATGCTGTATTCTGATAAATCAGAGATCAAAGAACATCCTAGCATTTAAGGGAAGTGTAAATACGGAGTATCTCTGTATTCATCTCTCTTTGAAATGTATAGCAAATCATCTGTGAATGGTGGAGGAACAGGCGACTGTCTTATGTTAATTCGTATAGCTAAGTAACAGTGATAGACTGCCTGATAGATGGATGGATACCTTATGTTAATCTGTGTGAATAATTAAAGACAATGCTTAGGAGATAAGAGCCTATTGTTCCCCGAGGGACTCCAACTTGTCAAAGAAGACCTGAAATTGTAGAAATGATCCTTGGGTCCTGATCCTTTTTATCTCAGATCTGCTTAAGCTACATCAGGGGAAGTTTGAGACATAAGATGAGATCCCAGTTAAGCTGGTATGTCCTGGATATGATATTGGACAGTGGGCTATAACCTATGAGCTAAATTTGAAAAGAACTCTTTGCAATTTCAAAGCTCACCATATCTGCTATGAATCTGAACCTCAAGAATTGAACTCATGTCTGTATGTATAATGATCTTTTAACCATATTCTCTCTCTTTTGTTTTTTTAAAAGAAATTTTAGTTTAGTTAATAAGAATTGACTGTATGCGTGTATTTGGGTAAGATCTGGAATATTCATTAACCTGGGAGGTAATGTGTCTGATCCTTTGGGATTGGTCAAACCTTTTCTTTTATACGATGAAATAAGATTTTCAGAAATCTTCATCATATTTGACTGGATGGAGGCCTAAGGCTGGATCACTTTAAGGGAACTGTGCTGTTGGTTTCTGGACAACCTGTGAGGTAATAAAGAAGCAGATTTAAGATGGCTTGGTAAATCTAAGTATTGAAAAAATCCACCATTTTTGGGGATTATCTGCCCCATTCCATAGACACCTTACTTGGCATACTTTGTACAAGATTTGTTGTAATTATATAACAGTCGTAGCAACAATGATCTACATGGTCATATTTTAATCAGATAACATCACACTACCATTCCCCTGATCCTCCTCGTAGCTCTTCTCTGCACCTGTTCCACTTGAAATTCTCCTTTCTTGAACATGGGTGATCAGAATTGCACACCCTATTCCAGACGTGGTCTTACCAGTGCATTGTACAATGGCATTAATACTTCTCTATCTCCTCTGGAAATGTCTCGCCTGATACAGCCTAGGATTTCGTTTGCCTTTTTCACAGCTGCATCCATGAGTGGTGTGTATAAGAGGCTGGGGGAGGCTAAGCCTCCCCCAGAAAGGCTGGCCATTCAGGGGGCAAGAAATGCCGGATTTGGCATGGGTGACCTCCCTTTAGAGTGCCACTGCCGGAAGCTCCCTAGAAGTGGGGGAGGCCACTGGCACCCAGACTGTGGCCCCACCCGCTCTCCACCCCGAGGCCCCACTCCCGCCCAGCCTCTTCCCGCCCCTGCTCCACCTCTCCCCCCAAGGTCCCCCTGCCTGCCGCTTGCTCCTCTCCACCCATTGCTCACCCATAAGGCAGAAAAGAAGTGGGATGGCTATGCTAACAATATAACTTTTAAAAGTGCTGGGGCCATGGCCCCCCAGTCCCACTTAGCTGAGTTGCTCCAGCATCAGCATGCACAGCAGGAGAAGTCCCACAGCTGGCCCAGCCAGTGAGAGGCTATGCGTACTGATGCTGCAGCACCTCAGCTAAGGGGCGCTGGAACAGGGGGGCCAGGTGGCCATGGCCCCATCACTTTTAAAAATAATACTGTTAGCATAGCCCTCACTCTTCTTTCCTGCCTTACTGGTGAGCAATGGGAAGGGGAGGGGTGGAGAGGAGCGAGTGGCAGGTGGGCAGAGCCTCAGGGGAAGAGGCAGAATGGGGCAGGAAGAGGCAGAGTGGCGGGGTCATGGGGGAAGAGGCAGAGTGGCGGGGTCACGGGGGAAGAGGCAGAGCGGGGGTGGGGCCATGAGGGAAGAGGCAGAGTGGGGGCAGAGCCATGGGGGAAGAGGCGAGGTGAGGCTTTGAGGGGCGAGGCCACAGTCCAGCATTCGCATAAGCACGAAAGAGTCATGTACCGCCTATGGCTGCATCACACTGGTGACTCATAGTCCTCCTGTGATCAACCCACACATGCAGGCCTCTCTCCTCCTCTGTCACTTCCAACTGATGAGCCCCCAGTGTGTAGCAAAAGCTTTTATTAATAGACCCTAAGTGCACAGCTTTGCTCTCTGTACTATTGAATTTCATCTCATTTCTGTTCCTTCAAACTTCAAGGGCATCCAGATCTTCTGATCTTCCTCAGTATTGATTATGCCGCCTGTTGAAACAGATATTTTAATGGCCCAAAGTTGGGCAGGGGTTTACCAGTACCTGTGAGCATACGGAAACCAGTATGCTTAATGCACAGTCATTTATTTGAGAGAGAATTACACAAGCAGTTAAGATTACATGGTATACATTCTTTACCATAAGCCTCAGTACCCCAAGCATAAACCCTCAGTACCTATGTTGGCCTTACACAATATCCTGATTGGCAAA